CTCCACAGAACCCTCTGCGTCGACGTCGTCTCCGCGGTGGGTCGACGCCCAGTGCGCATGCTGCGCTGGCGCGCGCTGTCGGCCCTTCGGAACGCGCGCAGGCCCGCGGGGGCGCGCTCCCGCCTTTGCGGCGTGCGCGCGCGCGCGCGCGAGCGGGCTTTCAATCCCTTCGTTGTGCGTCGCGTCTTGCGCTAATCTGCGCGGTGCGGACGTGCGCGGTCGACTGCGCCGCTTCTTGCGCCGTGTGGCGACGAGAGGATGTGCTTTTTTGTTGTCGCGCCGTTCGAGGCGCCCATCAATTCCTGGCCGCTGCTCTTGAGTTCTGACCGTTCCCAGCGAGGGTGCCCAGCCTCATAGCTGACTGTTGGCGGTCGCGCTTCGACGCGCGATGCGTTTTTAGCGCGCCCTGAAAACCAGCGCCCGTTGCAATCCGATTCCATACCTCGCTGGTTTTTTTCCAGCTTGGGTTAGCGTTCGCGCCTTGCCGTGCGCGGGCGGCCCTACTCGCGTGATCGCGTCGCTTTGGATGCGCGGCGCGGTTTTCATTATGGTTTTGCGACCCCAAGAACTTTCAGAAGTGCGCCTGGCGACCTGCAAATTTGCACAGCCAGTTGCCATCGCGCCGCGACTTCTGGCGATGCCATCGCCCTCGAACGTGCGCGCGCGCACGTGCGAGCCACTGGTTGTGGGTTAGCGCGCGCAGGCACGCGCATCGCGTTGGCTTGTGCAGTTTGCGTTCGTCATGCGGTTGCGCGCTGTAGTGCCGCGTGGGGTTCGCGCGTGGTTGCGCGACCTCCAATGTGTCATTGAACGTAATGGCGCCTTTGATGTCGCTGTCGCAATGACACTTGCTCCAAGGTGTTTGTTCGATGTATCACCGCTGCCGCTGTCATTGGCGCAGCGGTTCCTCATCGCAACGTCGCGATTGGCAGGCAATTCGGTCCGCGCCCTTTCGCGCCAAACGCTGTGATCGTGGTGCCCATCGGGGCTTCAGTCTGCAGCGAGGAGCATCGCGCGGGCGCTCGCGTTCTCGCGTTCAGTCAGCCGCGATTGGTCCAACGCTATACCGAGCATTTTGCGATTAAACGTTTAATTTTTTGAATTGCGTTTTGTCGTCAAAAGCTTCGCCAGTAGAATGGCGCCGCTGATGATTATGGCTTCGGGGCCGCGAATCTCACGTGTTTTTTACGCGTCCCGCGCCCCCTCGGGAATTCAGGCAACGCGATCCGGGCGTGGTAAATTGCTGGTTTGGTGCCTCCCCCCCCCTCGCGCGGACTTCAACAATTTTTCACCCGGAAGCAGAAGGGGGGACTGTAACATTATAGACTTGACGCTGCAACTAGTGCTGGGAGCAGCAACTTCGCCCTACAGCCTGGTGGCCCCATCAGGGGGCTGGCAGATGACGGGAAGCGTCTTGGCTCTGTGAATGCTCGCGAAACCTCAGTGTTGGGGTTGCGTCTTCAAATAAAAACGTCTTCGAAAGGCCTTGGCTCGAGCGGTTTCTGGCGTTTCTCGTGTGTCGGCGGGGTCGCAAGCCCCCGCGCAGCATGCATGCAGTCGATGGCGAGACATGTATCGTTTCTCCTTCTTTGCGCCATCGCTAGCCGAAGTTACCCACGCTGGAGGGCCGAGCGTTCGGTGACGGCACGATCAGCGTGGAGCTCCATGACATCGACTGACGCTGATGATAGGAGCGAGCCAGTGCACAGCACACGGAACTATCACCGTGTCTGCCGTGCCATTATCGCCAGAGGGCGAACGTGGTCGTGGTCCGATCCCAATGAAGGCCAGGGTGTTGTGGCAGGTCGACGCTATGGGGTTATTTAATTCGGCGACACAGCAGTTGCAACAGCCATGGGTGATGCGTGGGTGCCCATGTGTTGGGACGCGTCGGGGCCTCGATCATCTCCCTGTTTTGCTGTAGCCCAGTCATTTGGTTCGAGGAAGCTCAGGGTGATCCCGACACCACGGGCCGTCGTGTACGTTGAACGCCAGCCTACGGACCTACGTACCTGCTTCCTCGACGCAGCGGGGTTGAGGACGCCCAGCAAGGTCAGTCCTTGGCTGTGCAACAAAGCGGACATCGCGCCCGCCAGATGGCTTGTGTGGGGCCCGACTGTAACCAAGTGTTTTGGCTTCCCGTGCGCCTACATCCGGTGGTTTGCGGTCGACTACACCAACCAATTCTGTGACCTTCGGATCAAGCAGAATGGGAAGCTGGTGCAGTACTCTTCCGTGGCCCGTGAGAACCGTCTGTGACATCCATGCTTAGACTCGGCCAAGTTTTGTGCTCTCGCCCTGGTGAGGTTTCAGCTGTTGCACAAATTCATTTTGTGTTTTTGTCCAGCGCTGGCGTGTCTCTTGCTTTTTCCCTGTTCTCGGCCCGCAGTCCGCAGACAGGGTGTCGATCTGTCTGTCTGCCGCCCTCGTTTCGCCATCCTGGAGTGTCGCCGGCTTTGCTCTGCTGGTAAGGGCGGCTCCAGCATCGGTGTGCTATGCTTCGCCGCGCCTGCCGCGTTGCGCCGTTTTGAGTTTCCCTGCCTGCCGCCAGTCCCTTGGCCAGAGGGCCAGGTACTGATGTGCGAGCCTCCCACCAGAGGGTGGTAGCTTCATATGTGACGCTTGTAGGTGCGCATGCGCGCAGGTCGGCCACGTGGTTGGCCTTGTGGTAGCTCGCGGGATCTCTTGATTTGAGGTTGCGGTAGAACAATCGTCCTCGAGGTGCCTGCAGCGCGCTGGACATTGTGGCTGAATCGGTATTATTTCCAATACAGTTCATATTAATATAGGGTGGATGGTTGCGCTTGTTTTTTTCGTCAGCGGCTCCCTCCAACAAAACGATTTTGCTCGAGATGTCCTCACACACGTGGGGTTTTCGCGACATCGCGTCTAACAGAAACAAGCGTTTCGCTTGATACATCCTCGAAACACATATCGCCGCGAAATTAATTCATTTGTAAATATTTGCGTTTCGCTTGAGACATCCTCACGACAATGACATGCATCTGGAGGTGTTTTATTGCCGCTTATGTTGAACACGGCGTTTTCGCCAGGGACATCTTCAGAAATTGCTCGGCAGCACGGCGGAGCGCAACAAACAAAACACGGCAAACCATTCGCATTTCGCAGGGGGCATCTTCAAAACATATATTTTGGCGAAGGATCCACTCATATGCAGCCGTGAGTACCGCGTTGTGGGTACCCTATGGGGCCGCGATCCTCGTGAAGGGTGTGCCGGAATGGGCGGGGGGATGCATGCAAACCCTGCCGCTGGGGCCTTCGGTGGAGCTCCCTATGGGGCCACGATCGTCGTGAGGGGTGCGCCGAAATGAGCGGGGGCACACATGCAAACCATGCAGCTGGGGCCTTCGGTGGAACTCTTTATGGGGCCACGATCCCCGCGAGGGATTTGCAGGAATGGGCGTGGGAACGTATGCAACACCTGCCGCTGGGGCCTTCGATGGAGCTCCCGATGGGGCCACGATCATCGGGAGTGGTGTGCCGACATGGGCGGGGGGACGCATGCATGCAAACCCTGCCGCTGAGGCTGAGGCCTTTAGTGGGGCTTTTTATGGGGCCACGATCATCGTGAGGGATGTGCCGGAATGGGCGGGGGAACGCATGCAAACCCTGCCGCTGGGGCCTTTTGTGGAGCTCCTTATGAGGCCACGATCCTCGTTAGGGGTGTGCCTGAATGGGCGGGGGAACGCATGCAAACCCTGCCGCTGGGGCCTTCGGTGGAGCTCCCCTTGGGGCCGCGATCCTCGTGAGGGGTGTGCCAAGATGGGCGGGGGGACGCATGCAAACCCTGCCGCACGGGCCTTCGGTGGAACTCCCTATGGGGCCACGATCCTCGTGACGGGTGTGCCGAAATGGGCGGGGGGACGCGTGCCAACCCTGCCGCAGGGGCTTTCGGTGGAGCTCCCGATGGGGCCACGATCCTCGTGACGGGTGTGCCGAAATGGGCGAGGGGACGCATGCAAACCCTGCCGCTGAGGCGTTCGGCGGAACCCCTATATGGGGCCACGATCCTCGTGATGGGGTATGCGGCAATCAGCGGGTGGACATGCGGCGAGCAGAAGCAGGAATGGGAGCTATTCAAAAAAGAGGACCCAACACCACATGATGGTTGGGAACGATATGTTCTCAAGAGGAAGAACTGAGAGCCCAAAGGGGACTGCTCCAAGAGTGCCCTGACGACTGCCGACAATGACGATTTCGCCGGGGACATCCGCAACGCATGAAAACAATATAACACCATCGTTTTGAAAACAACTGCTCTAACCTCGTCTTGGGACCGCTCTTGAAAAAAAGGCTCCAGTCGGCCCAGACCAGGCTTCAAATAGTGACGATTTCGGTAGGGACATGCTCAAACAAGAGGCGTGTGTGTGACATCGCATTGGCATGTTCTTGATGGCGTCGAGGCAGCCCCACACGAGCCCCACACGAGGCCCAAGATGACCCCACGAGCGCCCTCGATGTCCCTCAACTTTAGCACTTCGCTCGAATATATCCTCACCAACATTAGCTCTTCGCAACACCGTCTTTCACAGCACGCATTTCGCGCGAGACACCCACCAGCGAATGAACATCGCATATTTAAATGTATGGGCGTGCGGATCTCGCTTGAAGCATCCCCGACCAGTGAGATACTCAAAAGGCATGGTTCAAGATCATGCGTGTTAGAACAGAGCTGTTCGCCTGAGACATCTTCAGACACTTGGCAGGATCACGGCAGCCCAGCACGCAGAAACACGCCAGTACGCGCGAGAGCACTGCAGAACACAGAGGGACATGGCAACACACACATGAGCACGGCAGAACCCGCAGAACACGCGGGAACACGGCAAAACAAACGGGATCACAATCCGTAGCCATTTTGGCTCAAGGCCATGGAGCACCCGACGGCCGCAAGTCGTCCGCGGCGTTCCGAGCGCGAGGGGCTCCTCGCTTGGGGCCACTGCATTTTTTGTTGTGCTCCCTGCATTCGCGGCGCGGAGGCGCTTCCTGTCAGCCCGCGTGGCCTGGGCCATGGCGCGCTCCTCGCGGGGTGGCGGCAGCGGAGGCAGGCGCAGCAGGACGTACTGGATGTGCAGCTGCGGTGGGTGGAACTGGGACTGGCGCAACACGTGCCTTGGCTGTGGGTACGCTGCCCCGCCTTGGGCGCTGGATGCAGCAGCCAAAGCCAAGCCCCAGGCGAATAAGGACGGCTGGGTGGATCAGCCGCGCGGGCGCCGTGCCCAGCGGCAGGCCCGCAGTGCTGCAACGAGTGCGGCAACCTCCACGTCGCAGACCTCGGCGTCGGGCGCCAGTGGGACGCCCAGCGGCAGCGGCGCCACGGCGATCGAGAGGCTGCAAGTGGCGGTCTAGCAGCTGGAGGCGCTGCAGGCGGAACCGCCCGACGGAGTCGACTGTTGCTTCACCGACGTCGTCGCCAGCCAGTTGGAGGCCAAGCGCGCCGAGCTGGCGGAGGCCCAACGGGCCGCAGCAGAGCAGAAGGCGTCCTCCATGCCGCTGTCGACGATGCTCCACAAGGAGGCGAACGCCATCAGCAAGGCGGGGAAACGCCTCCGAGCAGCGCGCCAGAGCCTGGAGCAGAAGCAAGAGGCTCGTGGCCGCGTCGAGGCCCATCTGCAGAAGGCCCAGGAGGAGCTGGCGCAGCTCGACGCGGAGGTGGAGGAGGCCAGCTGTGCGCTCCACGCCCTCGAGGAGGAGGCCCGAGTGGAGGCCGCTGCGCAGCTGCGCCAGCGCGCGGCCGAGTGGGCAGGGGCCAGCCAGGTCCCAGGGCTCCTCATGCAGCTGGACAAGCTGCCCGAGGCATGGGGCTTCAGCAACTTCGAGGTGGCGTGGGCGGCCATTCGCTCCCAGGTGGAGGCAGTGCGTGCGCAGCTTGCCGAGGCCCCTACCGGCCCGAGGAGAGCGCCCTGGGCGGAGTCGCGCCCCATGGGCGAGATGAGCAGCGAGGGCGGCGACCACGCAGGAGGCTGCAGGCCATGGCAGCCACAGTGCGCCGCGGAGCGTGGCCAGGCCGAACGTCGCGGCGACGCCCACGGCGAGTGGCCGAAGGTCGGCCAGGCGTGCAAGCGGGAGCTGACGGCCGAGGCTGAGGACCTGGCCCCTCTTGCTGCTCGCCCTGCTGGCCGCGCCGCTGGGAGTCGCGGCGGAGGCGAGAGGCCGCGGCTGTCGTGCGCGTAGCCACGCCAGACGCGCTTTGCATAGGCAGCAGGAGGGCGGCGGCGCCGAAGCGGCCCGCATCGGCGGCAAGCGGCCCCCCGACCTCGGGAGTGCGCAGGCCCCGCCAGCGCCGGGCCAAGCTGCGACAGCAGCTCAGGATGTCCGCTGCGGGCTGGACGAGCTCGGTGTCAACGGCAACGCATGGAGGGGGAGCCTGGAGGTGACCGAGGCCTTGGGCTCTCGCAGCAGGGCCCCGCCGCACCCTGTAGCGCGCCAGGAGGCCCGCCTGGCTCCGCGCCGCCTGGGGGGGGGGCCAGAGGAGCAGCGCGGCGCATGGGGTCTACGGCTTTCCTCCACGCGTCGGCGCCCACGGACAAGGGGCCCGCTGGCGAACTCACTCAGGCGGCGTCGCAGGCTGGAGGCAGTGCTTGGGTGGAGTCACAGTGTCCACTGCGTCGGGCCTGCAGCTGCTGGCGCGCTCGCTGCGCCTCCAGGGCGCCCTGGGACCCAAAGGCTTCAACCTCGGCAGCTTCGCCGCCTTCGGCGACGCGGTGCTCTGCCAGAGGCCGCGGTTCATTTCCGTCGTGGGCCTGGCCGTTGAGTCGTTCAGCACCAACGGGGCAGGTTTGGCGGGGTGTGCGTGTGGCCCCACTGTGGCCAAGCAGCCTGTGCTGGCAGCCCTCCGCGCCGCCCCAGCGGGCGGCGGGCCGCTGGTGGTGGCTCGCGACGTCGTCGGCGACGTCGCGCCGCAGGCCGTGGGCGCGGAGCAGCAGGTGGGCGCGCGGCTCGGCAGAGCAGGGCTGGAAGTAGTGCGCCGCCTCCGTGGTCAGCGCCTCCCCCTCAGTGCTGCCAAGGCGACCTTCCTCGCTCCAGGTGCTGACCCGTGTGCGGATCGACCGACACTTCAAGTCTGAGCGGTGCGCGGTCACGGACCTGGGCGATGAGCTCGACCTCGTGCACCTCGGACCTCAGGAGCTGGGCTTGGAGGCTGGCCTAGGCGCTCGAAGTGCGTCCTTTCGTCGCGAGACGCGGAAGCTCAGCCACGACGCCTGCCTGCTGGGGGCCTGCATCTCCAACCCGCACTGGACGCAGGCCAGGCTCCTCGATGCACGGGAACAGGGGCAAGCGCGCTGCAGCTGCTGCGGAGCAGAGAGAGGCACCTTGTGGCACCGCCTGTACGGCGGCCCTGTGCACGAGGCCCAGCGGTGCGACGGAAGCCGCTGGCTGCCCGCACCTGAGCCACCGCAGGGTAGCCGCGCCGACGCCATGTGGGTGCAATGTGTCCGCAGGCCTGCCGATGATGAGCTCAGCGGCAAGCTGTGCCTCGATGGCTCGGCGCTCGAGCCGCCTTTCGGCACCTTGCGCTGTGGGGGCTGGGCCATAGCGCACTGCGACGACAACGGCAACCTGGTGGCAAGGGTCTACTGCGCAGTCGGGCGCGACCGCTGCCCGCAGCAGGCGGCCAAGGGCGGCGAGGGCGTGGCTGCCTGGATGCTCGCCACCCTCGCGAGGCCAGCAGTGGGGGAAGTCAACTTCGACTGCCGCTCCGCTGCGTCCTGCCTGCGGGGAGGGCATGCGAGCGCCGCCGCGCCCAGCGGGGCGAACGCCCACCTTTGGAGCAGGATTCTGGCAGCCTTCGAGCCAGGTGCTTTCGAGGTGAAGAAGGTGACGGCCCCCTGTTCGAGGCAGGCAGTGCCGGACGCGCTCCTGGCGGAGGCCCGGGGGCGCGGCGGCGAGCGCGCCGACCGCCTCGCCGTGATGGGCGCCCAGGCGCATGCAGTGGGCAAGCTGGCGGTTGGCGCGCACCCGGCGCTGACGGGGTTCGTGCAGGAACTCGGGCGCTGGATCTGGTGGGCCGCCATCTTCGGGCAAGGCATCGAGGCCAGGGACGGCGAAGGGCTCCCTCCTGCTGCTGGGCGGCGCCAGGTGCGTCTCGCTGACGCTGAGGGGTCTCAGGCAGCGGAGGAGGCCACGGGCGAGGGGCCGTCGGCCAAGCGGCCGCGCCTCGGGGGCGCCCGCTCGACAGGCAGCAGCTCGGCAGCCCTCTCGGCCAGTGCAGTAGCCTTCAGCATACTGGGACATGCCCTGTCCTATGCCTGCGCTGGAGAAGGTGAGGGCACCCAGGAGCTCGTGGCGTGCTCCAAGTGCGGCGCCTGCATGGCGCTGGGCGGCCGCTCAGGGGTTAAGCCTCGTCTCAAGGAGCGGTGCCCAGGCGACGAGACCGACAGGGGCGGCAGGAACCAGCGCAGCCTGTGGCTACGAGGACTCCATCCTGGAGGCAGGAGGCAGGAGGGGTCACGAGCTGCCAGGCACAGAGTGAAAGGAGAGGGCATCCCTGCGCTGCGCTCGCAGGGTCCAGTGCCTGAGCACGCGCAGGAGCGGTGCCTGGGGTGGCTTGGAACTGCAGCGGTGCCAGCTGCAGACTCCTCGGCCACGGCGAGCAGTGCAGGCAACGCCCCAGCGGCGGCTGCAGAGCCGCAAGTGGCCGCGGACCCAGGAGGTGGCCCATCGGATGCGGCCGTCGCTGCGGCCGCTGCCAGCCTGCCCATGCGGCGCCCAGCCGCAGCGAGAGCAGGGCGTCTCGGTGCGATCGGGGTCATCGAGGAGAAGCCCGCCGCCGCGGCCGGCCCTGCAGGCGACGCCCTGGAGGACCGCAGGGTGCGCCGCCGCGTGGCGCGCCGTGGCGGCCCGTCCGTGAGTGAGTGAGTGAAGGGTTGCATCGCTGTGGCTCGCGCCAGCTGCTCCATTTGGGAGCAGGCTTCCGTCGCCCTCGGTGCCTTGTGGGACTCGGCGTCTCTCGGGAACGCGGGCCCCATCTGGCCCTGTCCATGTTTGCCCCCTTTGCCTTGAAGGCCCCGTCTTTAACTTTAACTTTAACTTCGACAAATGGGTTCGCATCATAACACACAAGAGCATGGCATAACACACACAGGAACACGGCATAACACGCATGAGCACGGCAGAATCCAGTAGCAGGACGAGCACGGCAGAGCACGGCAAAACACGGCAGACCACGCAAAACACATAGGAGCACGGCAGAAGCAGGAACGCGGCAGAACACACAGATGCACGGCCGTACACATAGGAGCACGGCAAAACACATAGGTGCACGGCAGAATTGACGGCATAACACGCAGGAGCATGGCATAACACAGAACACACACTCCGTAGCCATTTTGGCTCAAGGCCATGGAGAACCCGACGACCGCGAGTCGTTCGCGGCGCTCTGAGCGCGAGGGTCTCCGCGCTTCGGGCCAGTGCAATTCGTGTTTGTACTCCCTGCTTTCGCGGCGCGGAGGCGCGACCCCTCGGCCAGCGCGGCGGTGGCCATGGCGAGGTCCCCGCGCGGCGGTGGCAGCGGCAGGCGCAGCAAGTCCTACTGGATGTGCAGCTGCGGCGGATGGAACTGGGACTGGCGCAACTCGTGCTTTGGCTGCGGGCATGCGGCCCCGCCTTGGGCGACGGGGACGCCCCGGGCCAAGGCGAGGCCCAAGGCGGACAAGGGCGGCTGGGTGGATCAGCCGCGTGGGCGCCGTGCCCAGAGGCAGGCCCGCGGCGCGGCCTCGCGGGCAGCCCCCGCCACGTCGCAGACCTCGGCGTCGGCGGCGAGTGGGGCGCCCAGCGGCGGAGGCGCCGCGGCGATCGAGAGGCTCCAGGCTGCAGTCGAGCGGCTCGAGGCGCTGCAGGCCGAGCCGCCCGGCGGTGTGGGCGGCTGCTTCGCCGACGTCGTGGCCAGCCAGCTGGAGGCGAAGCGCGCCGAGTTGGTCAGGGCCCAAAAGGCAGCAGCGGAGCAGAAGGCCTCTTCCCTGCAACGGGCGACGCGGCTCCACAGGGAGGCGAACGCCATCGGCAAGGGTGAGAAGCGGCTCCGGGCAGCCCGCCTGGAGCTCGAGCAGGCAGGCCCAGCTCCAGAAGGGAGGAGGAGCTCGCGGAGCTCGACGCGGATGTGGAGGAGGCGAGCCGCGCGCAACAGGTGCTCGAGGAGGCAGCCCGTGAGGAGGCTGAGGCGCTGCGCCGCCAGCGAGGAGCCGAGCGGACAGGAGCCAGCCAGGTGCCAGGGCTCCTCATGCAGCTGGAGAAGTTGCCAGAGGCATGGGGCTCCAGCAACTGCGAGGTGGCTTGGGCAGCCATTCGCGCCCAGATGGAGGCTGTGCGGGCGCCGCGGGCCCCAGAGGCCCCCAAGCGCGCCGTGGGCTGAGTCCTGCCCCATGGAGGAGATCAGCAGCGACGATGGCGATCTCGCGGACGGCGGCGGCCCCTGGCAGCCTCAGCCAGCAGCGGAGCGAGGCCAAGCCGAGCGGTGCGGCAAGGCGCTGGGCGAGTGGCCGACGGTGGCCCAGGCACGCAAGCGGGAGCTGGCTGCAGAGGCAGCGGACTTGGCTCCTCTGGCTTCTCATCCTGCTGGCAGGTCCGCTGGGGGCCGCGTCGGAGGGGCGCAGCCAGGACCAGCGAGTGCCTAGCGAGACCTGTGCGGCGGGCCTGCGCCTGCACGAGAGCGGCACCGAGGTCGTCGAGAGCGACTTGGTAGAGCTCCGCGACATGGGCGTCCTCGACCCGCCCAGGGGCCAGGAGCGCGCTGCAGGGCCCAGCTGTGTCCTCATCCTCCTGGGCGCTGAGGGGAACGTGGTTGGGGCCCTCGAGTTCGGCACTAGCGAGTGGAGCGACCCCATGGGCAGAGCAGGCGTGCCTGGGCATCCCGAGACGTTGGCCAGGATTGCGGATCCGCAGCAGCTTGCCGAGCAGCCACTCAGGGCGCGGGCTCAGGGACGGGAGGCGGCAGCAGCCAGGTGCGCTATAGCCGCCGCAGGTGTGCGCCGTGCCTCGCCCGTCTGCGCGGTGGTGCGGACCCAGTGGGGCGTCGACTGGTGCCTCGAGTCGGAGTGGTGCATGGTCATGGACCTCGGTGGCGAGTTCGATCCAATGTGCCTCGAGCAGCGGGCGATGAGCTCGGTTGCGAGCACGTGTGCTCGGCAGGCCTTCTACCACCATGAGAGGCGGAACCTCTGCTGCAGGCCCCTCTTGCTTCGGCAGTTGTTCGGGGGCGCCATCGGGCTGCTGCTCAGGCCAGGAGTCGAGCGGTACGTGAAGGCGCGGCACGCGCGAGGTGCCTCCTTTCCCTACGCACTCGTGACGGTGCGTAGCTGGTGGGGTCGGCCGCCTGTTGGTGTTGGCAGACACAACGGCAAGCAGCACGTCGATGGCTCGGCCTTGAGCAGCGAAGGGTACCCTCCTGCTGGCGGGATCGGCCAGGTGCAGTCCGCGGCGGCAGCGGAGCCCCCGCAGGCTGGTGAGGCCCTCGGCGGCGGCGCCTCAGCCGCGCGGCCACGCCTGGAGGGCCGCCGCTCGACGGGGAGCAGCGCGGCCGCCCTCTCGGCCCCCGCTGTCGCCTTCAGCATCCTGGGGCACGTGCTCAGCTATGCCTGCGCGGGCGAAGGTGAGGGCGGGCGCCCAGGAGATCGTGGCGTGCACCAGGTGTGGCGCCTACAAGGTGCTGGGCAGCCACGCAGGCAAGTCTCGCCTGAAGGTGCAGTGCCCAGGGCCCAGCTACCTGACCAACAAGTCAGGCAGGAACCAGCGCAGCCTGTGGGGGCGAGGGCTCCATCCTGGTGGCAGGCGTCGAGCGGACAAGCAGAGAGTGAGAGCAGAGGGCATCCCTGCCTTGTGCTCGCAAGGGCCAGTGCCAGGACACGCCCAGGAGCGCTACCTGGAGTGGCTCGGCATGGAGGCGGAGCCTGCAGGCGGAGCCTCAGCCGCGGCCAGCAGTTCGGGCAGCGGCCCAGCGGCTCCCGCGGCAGCGCAGGCAGTGGAGGCGGCGGCTGCCAGCCTGCCCCAGCAGCGGCCAGGCCCGAGCGCTGGCGCCCTCGGCGCAGGTGAGGCTGCCGAGGAGGAGCGCGCAGCCGCGGGCGCCGCGCCTAGCGGCGGCCTGGTGAGCCGTAGGGTCCGCCGCCGCCTGGCGCGCCGCGGCTCGGAGTCGTCGGGGAGTGATTGAAGGCCTTCCCGCCTGTCCGCCCGCGCCTGTAGCTCCCGTGTGGCACGCGTGGCTCGCTTGCTTGGGACTCGGCGTCTCTCGGGAACTTTGGTCCCGCCTGGGCCTGTCCCCGTTTTCCTTTCCCTGTGCCTTGAAGGCCCCGTCTTTAACTTTAATTTTAACTTTAACACAGAACACACAGGAGCACGGCAGAACACGCAGGATCACGAGGAGCACGGCCGAACACACAGAGTACATAGGAGCACGGCAGTACACACACGAGGATGGCAGAACACACAGGAGCGCGGCAGATTACACAGAACACACAGGAACACGGCAGATCAACCAGCAGCACGGCAGCACGCACAGGAGCACGGCAGAACACGCGGGAGCACGGCGGAACACACAGAACATCTATCCACACAGCCGCACCCACAGGCACGCGCACATAGGCACACGCACATAGGCACACGCACACGCACACGCACACGCACACGCACACGCACGTACACCTACACGCACGCACACACACACACACACGCACACACGGAGAGGCACCGTACGTTCACGCAGACCGCGGGAGCACGGCAGGGCAGCAGGCCATGACACAGCAGTGCCGCGGACCACCGCGCACGGGCAATCATGCACATGTTCCACGCACGTGCGCGCCCGCGCAAACGCACGCACGCCACGATAGACTTGCGCAGCGCGTATTAAGAACGTATGGTAACTCACGAGCCCAGGACACAACAGGACGCTTCCTGTTCTTGTCCGGTCAGGTTTTTTTGAGCACTACCAAGGTCCAACTTTGGGGAGTCTGAGGGGTCGGGGTGCGTTCCGCTCAGTGCCTGCGGCACGGTGGCGGATTGGTTTCTCTACGCGAGAGCCCAAATCGCCGAGACCGCCTTTCCTCTCCTTCCTCTTCTCCCTGTCGCCCTCGTCTTCTTGTCCCTGCCGACCTGCCGCGTTACCGCATACAATTCAAGCCTGCACCTTCAAGAGATCAGGGCAACGCTGTGGTACTCAGCACCTGCATGCGAAGCCCGTCTTTGCTGGTGCCAGCGACGCCAGGGCGCCCCCCTGGAGAGCGTTTACATTTCCAGTGGCGGCGAACAGAGTGATTGGCTCAGGTGCAACTGCGCAACATTATAGATTGTTGAAGGTCCATGCAGATTTCTCGAATCTGCGCTGGACCCCCCTGGCGGCGCCTCCGCGCCGCCCCTAGCGCGCTCTGCGAGCCAGGTAGGGCGGTCCAGCGCAGATTTAAGGAATCGGCGCGGATCTTCGAACGTCTATGTTGATGCAGTTTGTTGTTGATCTTTCAGTCCCCGTCGATCCTAGCTTGGGTACCCCACTCTTCCCAGGAACGTCATATTTTTCGCTGTCTGTGGCCTGTCGCCAGTTTGTCGGCCATGCTTCGGCAATGGCAGTCCGATGTGTCTCCCCCAGGTCGGACCCCCCTTTCGGCTCCCCCCGACTGCCTCGTAGACGATTCACTTTCATTTCTGGGAGCCTCCCTGGCAGCCTTGCGCGGCTCATAGTAGGTTCTTCCTCACCAGCGGAGAGTGCGAGCCTGCTGCACCTTCAAGAGGCTCAGCTGGAACCCCGAAGTGGTTGTGTATAGAATTCAGCCACTGGCCTCAGGATGTTTCGCTTTGAATTGGCCCTGCGCAGGCATGCGGGCCGATAGCTGCAGAGCAGTCATGGCGTTATTAGCCAGCCTCTTTGCATGAAGTGAGCGCCTACAAAGCCATGGCGTTCAGGTTTCATCGCACCTTCTGGCCCAGAACGTTTTGCCAAGCGGCGCAGGCAGGCCCAAAGGCGCAGAGAGCCTGCGCCTCAGGGCTGCTGCTATAAAAAACCACGGCGCAACTGCGCTTGGTGATTGTGTCTCCGCGTTTACGCAGAACAAAATGTCTGAGGTTGGGGGTTTGGTTCTGGAGACTGGGCCGCCTTTACCGTCTGACGCAGGCTTGGCGTGAGGGTGGTTGCGAGCGCGACAATTGCTGTTTTTTTCCATGGGGCACTCCCGATGCGACGGGCCAGACCTGTGTTGGAGGGGGGGGTCTGAAGACAGTCATGAGCTGGGTAAACACGGCCCCTCAATCCCTGATGTAACATCAACCACAAGCGTAGCCATGGACTTTCGTATGTCTGCGCACTTCTTGGGTCGGCTCTGGGTCCAGCGCTTATCCGAGAAATCCGCGCTGACCTCTGAACGTGTCTGTCTATCCGGATATTTTCCCGATGCATCAAGGGAGACAAAACAACTATCCAGACCCCGACAACTGGGGTTCACATTCTGGCCCTGGGTATTACCTAAACAGCCCTGCCCTGTTCGATTCCTTCCTTGGGTGCGTTTGCTAAGCAGCTTCGCTTGTCGGGCTGCTTGCTATGCGGTTGGATTTTCTGTCCTCTACTACATGTGCTGGAGGCTCCTCGGGCTCTTCATGATCCCTTAGATGATTGCCCATGCTTGACTTTGGTTCTGGCTCCCACGCCTGCGCACCAGGAATGCCCGAGTGGGAGCTGCGCAGGTACGTCGAGGACCTGTGACCTCCCTACTCTTGTTTCACTGGCTCCTCCTGCTTGACATTGTGCTGCTTCCGAGATTTCTGCTCATGCCTGGTGACGTTTCGCATGCCATGCCAGTTCCCGCCTTCACATCCCTTGTTCTACAGTGGGGGGCCCATGCCAAGAAACACCCTGCTTGCCTCCAGGATGCCCTGGGTTCGTTGGGGTTCGATGGTTTTGCTATGGAAAGCGTGACGTTCCCACACCAAAAATCAATGGATGTCTTGGGGTCTCAGGGTTGGGTTTCGTGTGGAAAGTTTCTTGTGGACGGGCCCCTATTGTATTCGGCAGAGCCAGTGACATCGGCTGCAATGGCGTTGTGTTTTCCAGCATGGCTGCTGCTGTCGCGTCTGGTGCTATACTTTGTGCGCATAGGTACAAGTTGCCAGCCAGAGCGCCATGTATACGTTTGCGCGTGCATGCATCGTTTCGCGTGTGCGGATGCGCCTCGGTATGTGTCCAAACATGTGCCAGCCAATGGCCAGGGACCAGCTTCGCAGTCAGCTCAGCATGCTGGCTGTCATCATTCTCTGGCGATCGGGTGAAACAGAAGCGGGCGCTGCACTGCATATGCATTGGCGTCTATATCTGAGCGAGTTTGCATGTTTGTGTATTTGTTGGCATTTGATTGCTTAGATACATGTCTGTAGGCAGGCTGGCAACTCGGCTGGTTGAGTGGCTGTCTGCATGGATGATCGGCTGGTTTGCAATCTAGTTGATCGGGCTAATGGGCTGGTTCGCAGACCTGCTGGCTGGTTGGAAGGCTGCCTGGATGGCTGGCAAGTTCAACATAGTTGTTGCTTTTGTTGAGGGAATGCCAGAGGAGAAGGAGTTACGGAGTTACCGTGACAGCGACACTGTCGGTTACGAAACGAAGCGGCTTGACTGCCTTGCTGTTCCTTGTTGGCCAGCTCGGCTTTATTGCGAACTTTAGGCCAGAGGCCGCGGGACACTCTACCAATATAGTCCTTCCGATTGCCAGGCACGACCTCAGAGCATATAGTGCTAAGTTGCTTAAGTTGTTTTGAAGCAAGACAGCCGCACCCAGTCCAAAGCCATAGTTCCAGACCCGAGTGACATTCGATAGCGTGAGATTCAGGTGCAATACCCCCCGAGAGATGCACTCTTCGCCCAGGAGGAGGCCTATGTAGAGTCCCGTCCACATTAATTAACTGAAGGCAAGCTGAGTCTAACCATTTGGTTTTGCGGGCTTGGGAAGCAAACCCCTGACACGTGGCACAGCTCTTTCCATTGTCTTTCAGACAGTGTAGGGTACTAAACGAGGCACGCACGCTGGCCGCTCGGGGCCTGACACCATCAGAGGCTTGCTGCCCACGCCTGCGCTTGCCGCCCTACTCGGCTACGAGACGCTCCTCGGCTTGGATCGCCTCAAATGTGCTTTGACGTATACGCAGGCGGACTGCGGACGCTTGCTTCTCTAAGATGTGCATGCTTGCACGGGTCGACTCGGCAAGCCGAGCCAAGTCAGACCTTGCGGCATCGAAACAGTCTTGCACAGTGCCACCTAACGCTAGCAACCGAGGTGCGACTCCCTTTACCATGTGCTCGCCCTCCAGGTGCGAGTGGACGAAAAACACGGGACAATAACCATAATCACCCTTCTGTTGTAGAGTGTGTCCTATACTATACGCCACCACCAACCCGCGTCGGGACCAGACGGTTCGATCTACATACGTTGATGCCAGCCTGTACTTACACTGCCATTGCTTGTGGTGTGCGCAGACAGGCCTGAACCACGTTGGAGACAGACTCGGAGGCCCATGCGTTTCCCTCGAGCAGCAGTCTGCCGCCAGCCTGGGAGGGCCCCCCAAGCCCTCACAGACACATTCGCCTGCTCATCTGAATGCGCCAGCCCGGCGCCGTGGAGGAGGGGGCGGTGGGTGTCCCTGCCCCCGCTCGCGCCTCCAAGCGCGAACGCAGGCCAGTCGGAGGTCCCGTGCCCGAGAGCGCCCAGCTCAGAACCGTCGGCCGTCGTCCAGCTCTCCGAGTCGGTCGGGGGCGCCGCACATCCAGCCTGTGGGACTACGACCGCGGGCCCGACACCGCTCGTCGACCTCGGCTGAGATGAAGTGTGATGCCGAGGTTGTCCACTGCAACCCCATACTCGGTGAATCCGGAGATGATGATGATGATGATGATGATGATGATGATGATGATGATGATGATGATGATGATGATGATGATGATGATGATGATGATGATGATGATGATGATGATGATGATGATGATGATGATCCCGATGATACTGATGCTGCTGCTGGTAATGCTGCTGCTGATGATGATGATGATGATGACCATGTCGATTATGATGATGATGCTGATGATGCTGCTGCTGATGATGCCGATAATGACGATGATGACGATGATGACGATGCTGATGATGACGATCATGCTGAAGATGAGGCTGCTGCTGATGACGGCTATGATGCTGCTGATGTTGATGGTGATCATGCTGCTGACGATGACGATGACGATGACGATGGTGATGATGCTGATGATGGTGTTGATGATGATGGTGATGCTGATGATGCTGATGATGATGCTGATGATGATGTTGATGATGCTGATGGTGATGTTGATGAGGGCGATGCTGACGATGCTGATGATGGTTTGCATGATGATCGTGATGATACATGTGGCGACAATGATGACGACGATGATGCTTATTATGATGCTGCTGATGTTGTCGATGACGATGACGATGCTGATTCTGACAATGATGATGCTGATGACTATGATATGATGATGCTGATGATGATTATGCTGGTGCTGATGAGGATGATGATGGTGACGCCGACGACGACCCCGATGAGCCCCCGAGGCGTCATTTTGATGACGATGATGATGACGCTGATGATGATGGCGATGGTGATGATGATGACGCTGATGCTGCTGATGATGATTCTGGTGACGCTGATGATGATGATGATGATGATGATGATGGTGGTGATGATTATGGTGATGATGATGATGATGGTAATGATTATGATGCTGATTTTGATGATGATGACGATGAGGCTGATGCTGATGTATATGATGATGCTGACCATGATGATGCTGATGATGAGGATGAGGATGAGGATGAGGATGAAGATGAGGACGATGATGATGGTGATGATGATGATGATGATGATGATGCTCATTATGATGAGGATGATGATGATAATGAGTATGATGATGATGCTGATGATGATGATGAGGATGAGGATGAGGATGATGATGATGCTGCTGCTGATGATGATGTTGCTTATGATGATGATGATGATGATGATGATGATGATGATGATGATGATGATGATGATGATGATGCTGATGATGATATGATGATGATGATGATGATGCTGATGCTGATGATGCTGATGATGATGCTGCTGATGATGATGATGATGATGATGATGATGATGCTCATGCTCATGATGATGATGACGATGACGATGATGATGATGATGATGATGATGATGATGATGATGATGATGATGATGATGATGATGATGATGATGATGATGATGATGGTGATGATGGTGATGCCGATGCTGATGCTGATGCTGATGCTGATGATGACTTGGTTTGTTGCGTTACTGCGTATATCCCACAGTCCGTCAATTCCGCCTGACCAGGCTTCGCCGCTGAAAGATGTTGCTGCTGCTGTCGATGGCGCTCCACGGCTCGACACTGCCACAGCATGTCAGGGAGCGATGGCGCGTGTCCTCTTCAGGACCCCGCACTGCGCACCACCGCTCTGGAGCCATGCCTACGCCAGCGGGCGGGGCCGACGTGAGCGCCTAGAAGACCGTGAGCCCACTTCAAAGGAGGGACGCTCAGACCCACTCGCGCGTTGACGACCTGGAAGACCTCCAGGGAAAAAACCTTCAGGGGGCCCCGCTTGAAGAAGGTCTCCACGAGCACCTTCGCGAATAATGCCTCAACGAGCAACTGCATGTAGAAAGCCACCTCGGGCGCCTGCGCGAAGACGACCACAACGACCGCCCACGCGAAGAAGGCCTCCACGACCACTTGCATGAAGAAGGC